GAGAAGGAGGAAGAGGAGATCTAGAGAGGGAAGGTGGGATTAACTTTGAGCTCAAAGCAAAAGCCAATGTTAGTTTTAACTGGCCAGCTCTCAAAAATGTTATTACAGGGCTGTTATTATATGGCTTAGTGGTAGAGTGCTTGTCTAGCATACATAAAGCCCTGGGTTCAATTCCTCAGTACAACATAAATAGAAAGCTGGATGTGGCACTGTGGCTCAAGTGGTAGAGTGCTGGCCTTGAGAAAAGAAGCTCAGGACAGTGCCCAGGCCCTGAGTTCAAGCCCCAGGATTGGCCCCCCAAAAAAAAATATTTAAAAAGTTTATTGAAAAGCTGGTTTAAAGTGATAATTTCAGGGCTGGGAAGGTGGCTCAGTGGTAGAGCACTTGCCTTGCATACCTGAGGTCCTGGGTTCAATTCCTCAGCACCACATAAACAAAAAGAAAAAAAGAGCCAGAAGTGGCACTGTGGCTCAAGTGGTAGAGCGCTAGCCTTGAGCTGAAGAGCTGAGGGACAGCGCCCAGGCCCAGAGTTCAGGCCCCAAGACTGGACCAAATAAATAAATAAATAAAGTGATAATTTCATTATATTAGCCAACCCACATTCCATAGGAATTAGTTCCAGGTATCTCAAAGCAGCATCTGTCATGGAAGCAAATTGTTCATTTTTGGGTTTTTTTGGTTTTTTTTTTTTACATGAAAACACATCAAGACTGCTTCTACCTTACATAAAACCAGTCATATGCAGTCATATACTCTTCCCAAGGGTATATTTAAATGGAGCCTATGTCTTAATTCATCCTGGTTACTATACCTGATGCTGCTGGTTATGAGAATGATGACACTTACTACATGCTTACTAAGTGCCAAGCACTGCACTGGCAGCCTGACACACACTGTCTCACCTAATTTCACAACACTCTTACCAGTGAGGTCAGTACTGCCATCCACCCATTTTACAGATGCAGAAACCCAAGCAGAACAACCCAAAATCATCCCACTTTAGTAAGCAGCAGAGGATTCAAACAAGTTGGTCTTACCCACAGCAGTAAATTGGTCTTATCCTACACCGAGAACCGACAAGTGATTTGTATTTGTTGAAATCACAGTTTGTTGAAATCAGTTTCAAACTATTTGTCCATTGGCAGGGTGCCAGTATTTCATTCCTGTAATCCTAACTACTCAGGAGGCTGAGATCTTGGGGATCATGGTTCAAAGACAGCATGGACGGACAAATCCCCAAATCTTCTCTCCAATTAACTAGCAAAAAGCCAAAAGTGGAGGAATAGCTCAAGTGGTAGAACACCAGGCTTAAGCAAAAGACCTAAGCAAAAGCTCAAGGACACTGGGTTCATACTCCAGTACACACACACACACACACACACACACACACACACCAGTACACATGCACATGCATACACAAATTGGCTAAAGGATTTTAGTCATGTATACTTGCTTAAACTTACACAAAATAAGTCTCTTTTTGTTCCTATTAGTCCAATTAGTTTGAAGGTATAATTAGGCATAGGAAACAGACTGTAGGCCATCTGAGAGCAGAAAACTTTTTTTAAATCCCTTTACCACCTTATAATGATTCTAACAAAAGAACAAAGAATCTTAGGCTAGGTTCATTCCCTCCCCACAAAAAAAGGAAATCAATGCAGGTAAGCCAAAGACAGGGTGAGCTGTGGAGCAAATCATGAGCAGAGTACAACACAGATGAATACTTGCTCCTGTGAATGGCTCTGCAGGGCTCTAATATAAAGTCTGAGCTCATAAAGCCACACTGCAAAAGTACCCAAACCAAACAGGAAGTCACTCCCTTTCTCTACTGACCTTATTCATCCCAGAGAAGAGTTAACAGAATTAAAAAAAAAAAAAAAAAGTTAACAGAATTTGAGGAAGGGCCAGCTTCACCACTTATTGTTGGATGAAATACAGTAGTTTGGTCAATAAATGAGCCAACTTCTTGGTCCCTAGAACAGGTCATGTAAGAAAAGGTGATCATAAATATCTCCCTAATGTTCAGAATATACCTATTACCTAACCTCCTTCAGCCAACACAGCATCAGCTGAATTACCTGAGTAAAAATTTTATATAGTTACATTTTTTAAAAAAGACCATTCAGTAACCTAAAAGGGGGGAGGGGGAAGATCACATACCTCTAAAAAACAAAAAGTATTACATTGTAGAAAAAGATGGAAAAGATGTAACTCTTTGCTTCCATCTGACCTGACTGCAGAAGTAAGATAAACACTGCAGTGCTAGGGGGAAAAAAAATCTCCCTACCTGAATAACAGAAGCAGCAGCCTCTGCGACTTCTGTACCTAGGTACCTTCCTTGCTATTATATAACCAAACTGTGGCCTGAATGGCCCTGGTTCTTTGTGTCAACAGCTGCTGGGCACATCTGAGCTGTCAGCAGTTGAGCACCCCTTCCAGATAAGCAAGAAGCAGGCCAGGTAGTGCTCATGGTTCTCCCAGAGCACATGACAGCTCCTTATGAATTAAGCTTCACTCATGTCCTCAGAGTAAGCAGCAAAAGAGGGGGCACTTGTAACTGTAACTAAGAAATTGCATACTGCTACAGAAACACAAATGAATGCTGGTGTGGTCCCTTCACACATGCAACTCATTGTCCAAGCCATTCAAGACTCATTCAAGACTAAATATTTCCATACATAGGAATTGCATAACTGCACACCACAAATGATCAAAGATAAAAACCAACATAAACAGTGACACCCGTTTATAAACAAGCCAATGTTTTAAATGCTGCAGTCCTAAAGGATACCAATGTCTCAGAGAAACACACACACACACACACACACACACACACACACACAGGAAAATTAGAAAGCGGGCAGACCAGCCATAATTAGGCACTAGCTCTGCTGACTATTGAAGATAGAAATGTCTCTTTTATATATAAAGCAAAGAATCAACTGTTCACCATTACATTTAGGGAAACATTGAACCTTGCCTGTCATAGATTTTTTTAAATCAATATTTTGGTATAGCTAAGGACTGGAAGGTTCAAAATTTTGTAAATCATAGGCACCAGGCAGCCAATTAAGTTCATGGAGTCCATTCCCCAGAGGTCAGAGCAAAGTAATCACAGAAGCACAAAGTGATTATTTAGAAGAAAGGGGAAAGGAAAAACAAAAAGGGGAGGGGGAAATAACCCAAACAAGCAACAAGGCACATTGTTTGTAAATTTGTTTGTTTTGGCTAACATTGTTTGTAAATTTTGTTTGTTTTGGCTAACAGTAAGCAAGACTCAAAATGGGGGGCGGGGGGTGAGAAGATGCACCAGAGTATTCAATTCTGCTTAGTCTCTACAAGCTGTGAAGTTGAGGTTGCCATTTGAAGACTTGAGGCTCTCAGATAAAACAGACAAAAAAAAAAAAAAAATAGCTGAAGAGGGTCCTCAAGAGGAAGTGAAACTGGCCACAGCCACCCAGCCAGCCACCCTATAATCCCTTGACAGAGCAAGAGACAGGGAAAGAAACTCAGGTGGCAAGTTAGCTGGAGAGAAGGCCCAAATAGGTCCTCTGGAAAGGAGTGATTACCACAAAAGCAAAGGGGGGGGGGAGAGGAAGAGGAGGGGGAGGGGGGAGGGGGAGGGGGAGGAGGAAGAAGAAGAAGAAGAAGAAGAAGAAGAAATAGAAATAATAACCCAGGGACTAAGCTGAGGGGAATTGGAAGGCTTTCGTAGGAAGCAGCAGCACCAGTAAGGGCTCTTCCTTCCTTGGGCAGAGGGAAAACACAAACTGCAGTTTTACATATAATGAATGAGTACATTAAAAGAACTCATTCAAGTGAGATGTTTGAGCGAAGAAAAATTAGGAGTCAGAAAGGGCTGGGGGGGAGAGGGGCGGGTGTCCATCAAAACTAAAGGATTCCTCTCGCTGTTTTTCTAGTCCCATCCTCCCACAAATGAAGAACGCTATATAAAAGTGCACCCCAAATTTCCTTTAAAAAAAGAAAAAGGAAGGAATTTTGTCTATATCCATAGATGGCTTCCTAATTGACCTTGGCCAATTTCACGACTACAGCTCCTCAAATCCCTTGGGAACCGAAGGGCCCAAGGAGTTGAAGTCCTCTGGTGAAGGGCCCCCTGGTCCCCAGCCTTCCTCCCTTCACCCCTGCCAGCCCACCCTGGGTACCACACAGCCCACACTTCCAGACCCTCCAATGATGACAACTAAAAATAACCGGTAACCCAGCGCTCCCAATTTGTTAACCCTTGGTGGGCTATCGCCACGGATAAACCTGGGCCCCCAGGACCTCTGTCTCCCACCCGTTTCCCGGGCCCTTCACACACACACACACACACACACACACTTCCTCCGCATTCCCCCGTGTTCTCGATTGCCTCAGTGTCCCCTTCAGGCTTCCATTCGCACCATCCATCCTTATCAGTCTTAGGTGATCGAATGCGGATTCCGATCTCGGTCCTAAGGTGCCAGGTGCCCTGCACCCTGTGTCCATGCCCGGGGACGGACGTCTCGGGGACCTCAGAAGCGCAGTTCTGCACCACCACCCCCCCTCCGCCGGGTCCGCAGTTCCCGGGTCCCTCGCCCCGGTCCCCTCAGGGTCTCCGGAGTCCTCCCGGCTCCCTGACGGCCGCCCCCTGACGGCCGCCCCCCCCCCCGGGCTCCGGCGCCTGCTCCTGGCCGATCACCCCTCACGACCCTCCGACGCAGCCCGAGGACCCCTGCCCAAGCCCGCCGCTCGCTCGGCGCCGGGGGGACCCCCCCCCGCGCGCCCCTCCGGCTGTGGAGTTTCCCGGTTTCCTCTCCCGGGTCCGCCGCGACCCCGCGCGCGCCGGTCTCCCCCGGGCCCCCAACGCTCTCCCTCAGGACGACCCCGTTCTCTGACCCCGGGCCCCGGAGACCCCCGGGGTCCGTGGGGTCGCGGGACTCCCCCGGCCCCCGCCCCCCCACCCGGCGTGCCCGGGCAGCGCAGCGCCTCAGCCGCGGGGCCCCGGGCGCCGGTACCTTGGCCTTGGTGACGAGGTGCGTGGCCCGCTTGACCACCGCGAAGTTGCCCTTGCCGATGGTGCGGTCGATCTCGTAGTAGCCGATGCGAGCGGGCATGGACCCGCGGGAGGCCGGGGCTGAGGGGCGCGGCGGGCCGGCCGCGGGGGGTCCCGCAGCGGGGGCGGCCGGGGGTCCCGGGGCGGGCGGAGGGAGCAAGCGGCCCGCCGGCCCGGTTCCCCCCTGCTCCGGCCACGGCAGCCCCGCCAGCTCCGCTCGCCGCCGCCGCCGCCATCTTGTTGTGCAGTGAAACCTCCGGGGCCGCGGGGAGCCGACTGGGGGGGGGGAGGGGGCAAAGGGGGGGCGGGAAAGGAGCGGGGAGGGGGGGTGGGGGGAGCTGACGGACGTCACTCCGGGAGGCGGGGCTCCCGCGGCCGCCGGGCGCCCGGCGTCATGGCAACCGCGGGTCACGTGCCGACGCGCGTCACTGCCCGTAGCCATGGCAACCGTGACCTCACCGGCGAGCTCGACCTTCCCGAGTGGGTCCGGGCTCCTCAGGCGCCGGCCGGCTCCCGGGTGCCCCCCTCTGGGGAAGCAGGCTCGAGAGCCCCGAAGGTGCCCGCAACTTCGAAGCCTTCCAGACAGAGTTGGAGGGGGGGGGAACCCCAAGCCGGGACGCCACCCCGCCCTCCTCCTGGTCCCGGCGCTGAAGTGATCCCCACGGTGACCTCTGTCCCAGTTCAGCAAACACCCAGCCTCCCTGAAAAAGGATTTCCTCATCACCAAAAATACCAGCCGCGTCCCACTTCAGCCCTTCAGGCCTCGGCGGCAGGAATAGCTGCAGGACTGACGCGGCTGCAGCCCGTCGGCCCGCCAGGCGGGACTGTGCGGGAAAACTCCGGCCTCGTACAAAACCCGGTCCACGCTGCGCGCCCGTGTCCGTGCCTCTGAGCCTAGAGAGAACGGGAGGTCTAGGGGAAGACTGTTCAAGGGCGTTCAAACACATCCCGTGTGAGCCAGCAACCTAGTCCCTGGGTGGGTGAGGGCCAGAGAAAGTGCGTCATTTTCCCTTCCTACCACCCCCGGCATCTGAACGATTCTATAGCTAGATGTCTGTCGGAGCGTCTGCAAACTACTTCTGTTGCTTGTATAAGCCTGGTGAGGCTGGGGTGTGCATTGATGGAGCCATGTCATGTTGAAAGATGAGCAGGTAAGTAATTCACAAAATAAAAATTCCATCCTTACTAATGACTCTACAAAAAAAAAACAAAAATACTAAGGGTGATCAAACTGACAGCGCCAGCAAATGAAGCTCATACCCTTTTTTCCTCCCCTATTATCTGACATTTCACACTCACCACTAGCTTCCAGACACCACCACCATCATCTAGATTGATTTAAACTACTTGAGGTGGGAAAATGGAGAGTGGAAAATTAGGCTATTAATGAGACAAGACTTTGGTAAGGCTGGGAAGGGAAGAGGGAAAACTGCAGACATTCCCGTGTGTATTGTCCTGATCTCTCCACAAATGGCTATTTGTCTCTTGGAGGCAGAACTGTGCTGTCAGGTTACTGTATGCACAATATTAAAAAACTGACATCCTAGCTGGGTATTAGTGGCTCACACCTGTAATCCTAGCTACTCAAGAGGCTGAGGGACTGGGATGTAGCTCAGCGGCAAAGTGTTTGCCTAGGAAGTGCGATGTCCTGGGTTTGATCCCCAGTTCCAAAAAAGAAAAGACAATAAACACACTCACAGTTAAGATACTAGGCGCCAGTGGCTCCTGCCTGTAATCTTATCTACTAAGGAGGCTGAGATCTGAGGATCACAGTTCAAAGCCAACCTGGGCAGAAAAGTATGTGAGATTCTTATCTCCAATAAACAAAAAAAGCTAGAGAGAGAGATGTGTCTCACGTGGTACAGTGCTAGCCTTGAGCCAACGAAACTCAGAGCCCTGAGTTCAAGTCCTTGAAGAAGAGAAAAGAGAAGGGAAGGGAAAGGGGGAAGGGGCAAAGGGGAAGGAAAAAGGGAAGCTGAAGGGAAAGGGAAGGGGAAGGGAAGAGAAGGGAAAAGGGAAGGGGAAAAGAAAAGAAAATGGACACCAGAGCATGGTAACTCTTTCAGAATGGGAATATATGTTTACTCTGTCCAAAGGACATTTCCTAGTGCTGAGATTCCCCATCTGACTATGAGTAATAGCTGGGACTAGGATAAGACAAAATGATCATCCCACAATTGTCTTAGATCCATTCCCTGGTGGCTAGTCCAAATTGCTAGCACAATTAACAGTAATTGGCTCCTTTACAAGAGAATAAGGATGAGGATGGAGTGGACATTGCTCCTTGCACTGGCTAAACCTATACAACAATTGAGTTTATCCAATCCCAGAGCAATTACTGGGTGTGGCCTGCCTCTCTTAGCACTCCATAGCCCTCCCCTGCAGCTGGGAGGGACTTTAGCCTTGGTGCTGGGCCTAAGAGCCCCAGTTTTATCATCTCACTGGAGGGGTCAACAGAACCCTTTGCTGGCAGGCAAAGCAAAGCCCTGAAACAGCACTGATACAACTCTGACTGGTAATGGTGTATTTAAGAGTGTTCTCCACTCATAGAGATAATTTCCACACCAAGTATAACTTGGCATCAAAGCCAACACTGGGAGTACTTAAAGACATGGAGTTCATTTCCAAATAGAAGAGGCTTATCAACTTAGTTCTCAATAACAAGCAGAATGTAGCCATAGACCGTGTGCTGTGTCATTCATGCTCCTGGCCTGTGTAAAATGAGACTGGTAGATTGTGTGTCCCATTGTGATTTGTGATATGGATGAACACTTGCTTGAGGGTTTGCCCTGAAGAATCTTTAGTGAGAATATAAGAAATGAGGAAAGGGTTCCTTGAAGAAGATCATCAGGGGAAAAGGAAAAGAATCTAGATTCACGTATGTAATAAAGATACAGCCAAGCGCCGGTGGCTCACACCTATAATCTTAGCTACTCAGGAGGCTGAGATCTGAGGATAGAGGTTCAAAGCCTAACCAGCCAGGAAAGTCTGTGAGACTTAATCTCCAATTAACCACCCGAAAAAAAAGAAGTGGTGGAGCCCCAGCCTTGAACAAAATGCTTAGGGACCGTGCCCAGACTTTGGGTTTAAGTACTGGTACATGCACATGTACACATGCCTGTGTGCACACACATGCACACACACACACACACACACACACACACACACACACACACACACACACACAGAATGCTGACTAACATACATAGGAAGGAAATAGACTTTGAAAGTCCCTGAAAGCAAGACAGAGCAGGCAGCTGAAGCATCTGAGAGCAAACAAATAAAACAAAGCCACATCTGAACAAAATGCCTGTGGGTGGCTTCACTTGTAAATGGCACCCCAAAGCAACTCGCTGCTTACCTTTACCCTCACAAAACTGTGGTGCCTTCCTGCTGCAGACTCAGGGAAATGATTTGAGGGCTACATTCAGAGACCGTATAGTCCAGCCGAAGTATGGCTCAGTAGTTGAGTGCCTGCCTAGCAAACACAAGGCACTAGGTTCAAACCACAGTACTCCCAAAAGAAAAAAAGTACTGGAAAAAGCAGGGAGCTATCCAGATAAGAAGTTGCCAACTCTTTCCTGAAAAAGCAAAAGGTATTTTCAAAGGTAACAAGAAGTCTTTTTCCAATGTAATACCATTCTGCCTTTTTTCTAGAATTGGAAACAAGCCAGTCCTGGGGCTTGAACTCAGAGCCTGGGCACTGTCCCTAAGCTGCTTTTTTGCTCAAGGCTAGCACTCTACAACTTGAGCCATAGCACAACTTCTGGCCATGTCTGTTTATGTGGTACTGAGAAATCAAACCCAGGATTTTATGCATGCTAGACAAGCACTCTACCACTAAACCACATTACCAGCCCAGGCATTCTTGATGAACACAATAAAATATTAGAAGTTTCAAAAGGTAGTATACAGTCTCAACACCAATGGGCACTGGTGGTTCATACCCAGATTCCTAACTGCTCAACTGCTCAGAGGCAGAGATTTGAGTGATGCCAAAATAATTCTCTTGTCATTGACCTCTTCCTCACAAATTAGAAATGTTGTACTCAAAAAACATTAAGATCTTGGAAAATTTAGCTATATATATATATATATATACATATATATATATATGTATATATGTGTGTGTGTGTGTGTGTGTGTGTGTGTGTGTGTGTGTGTGTATTTTGAACCAATGCCAGAGCTTGAACTCAAGGGCCTCATGCTCTTATTCAGCTTGCACGCTCGTGACTGGCGCTCTAGATTTTGGCATATTTAGATCCTTTTTTTCCACTTGAATATAAAAGTGTAGCTAATTCTAGGAAGTTAGAACATTTCACAGAAAATAAAAGCATACTTCAAAGTGTACCTAGGATAGAAGTCTCCCCTTGTTTCATGGACCCTACCTTTTTGCAGAACTTCCCAATTCCTCCTTTCCAGGCCTTTTGGCCTCTTTACTGACCCAGTTGCCTCCTGCTGTGCAGCACCTGCCTTGGGAATTGACCCTGGGCCCTCAGTGCTCGCCCGCAAATACTTCTTTTATTTCCAAAGGAAAGAGACAAGACAGTTCATTTACCACACATTGCAGCTTCCTTGCACAAAGTAGCTTTTGCTCAGGTTTCTGATGCTGCCTTTGCTTCCTCTCCACCCCAATTTTCTCCAGTTCAGCTTCAAAATTCTTCCATCGCTTGAAACCAAGAGGAACCTTATCCCTTGTCTGCAGAGACACCTGCTGGTCAAAGCTCTAAAGTACATGATGGATGCCTAACTTCCTTTTTTTTTTTTTTTTTTTTTTTTTAGAGAGAGAGAGGCCTTCTAGTTCCTTCTGTTTAAATTGCAGGCATTTGGAAACCACAGGTCCACAGACCAGCCAAAAAGCTGGAATCCAAATGGAAGCTGGCTCCAGGAAGTTGGATTTATTTATGGACAAAAAGCAAGTCCAGTAGGGTCAGTTTACAGTAGGGTTTTAGGCTTAGGTCATAGTCCTTGCCATAGTTTTATTACCCTTTATCCACTGAGTTCTTGTGGCATACTTTTTTCCTTAGGGATGAAATTATTTCCATTTATTTAACTCTGTGTGTGTGTGTGTGTGTGTGTGTGTGTGTGTGTGTGTGTGTGTGTGTGTGTATGCGCGCGCGCAATGGGGTTTGAACTCAGGGCCAGGACATCTCCCTTACGTTTTTTTGTTTTTGGTTTTGTTTTTGTTTTTTTTGTCAGTCGTGGGACTAGAACTCTAGGCCTGGGTGCTCTCCCT